TGGTTGATGAAATTAATAAATTTATTGTTGGTTGGTGAAATTAATAAATTTATTTATTGTGGGTTGAAAACTCTATGTGCTCACCAGGCTCCTAAGCCTGATCCACTCAGTTTTATGTATTACAGGTAGTGGAACAAGAGCATAGTTGGATGATGAGGAGGGATTTTGGATTATAGGCCAGTAGATGTATATAAATGTTGTAAGGCCTATATTGTACTGTTTATGCGTTTGGTCTGTATCGATGTTGACATTCCGAGTTTTGTAATGAAATAAAAATTACATTTCTTAAGAAATGCTTTGATGAATTTTTATTATATTTTATTTTGGGAACAAATTCCGCATCACTTTTATTTGAAAGATTATTCTGATTTTATTATAAAAGCATAAACGAAATCGGTCTTTTCTGGCTGTGAAAATGGGGATGTCACATGATAATTGATGATCGGGTCATAACCCCGAATAAAGAAGCGATTCGAAACCGGATGTTATAGTTGATTTGGTGGATAAGAGTATGGGTTAGATTATTCAAAACCATGCGGGTTACGGAGCGTTTGGATCAGATTTGAAATTTGTTAAAAAGGGTTTGGATCAAGGTCGATTTGCTCCAAACCCGCCTCATTGTCAGGTCTACCGTTTATTTTAAAAACAACATATATCCTGGTAACGAGTTTCAACAACTTTTGTAGGGACTAACAAGGGTAAGGATAAGATGCACTAGGCCAGACTTAAACTTTTGGAAGGATAATGCTTATCGAAATATAGTATTTTGTTGAAATAAAGTAATGTTCGTGTTTTAGTCTAGTTTAACCTAATGTATTATGCTTTCAATAAAGCGTACTTTGGTATTTTAATAAAAGTTTTTAGATCCATGGGACAATGTTTACGTATTTAGTAGAATTTATATCTTTCGAGAATGAGGGTGTTACATATTATATTATATTTTAAATCCATATCGACATTAATGCTAATTATAATTATACTAAATTGCAAGGTTGTAAAAAACGTTCGACGTTAACTAGTTTGTAGAACGGGGTTAAAGGATTAATCAGCTATATGGCGATTAATAAAGGGATTAATCGGAGACCCTAAATTGCTAATTCTTTGATTTTAAAAAATAAATAAATATAACTAATATCATAATAAAATTCGTAAATACCACTAATATCATGACAAAATATGTTAATATGATTAATACAAACTAATCATTACTCAAATAGTTTCTATTGAGATATAACTTCTTTAAAAAGTTAAATTTTATTGTTTGCTACTGTTTCACTTATTTTGTAGGTATGGATTAATCGTTAGACGTCTTTTAGTCGGTAGCGCCTAAAGAATAATCATAATCGGAGATTAATCGAAACCTAGTCGGGATTTTTACAACACTACTAAATTGTCAGTGACACTAAAATCACCATCATAACTCATAGCAAATGTCAAAAATCATTGATTTAACAACTTAAGACACCTAAACCACCAAAAACAACAAATTTTCAAATAATCTGAGTTAGAATATAGTTACAAACTATAATCAAAGATTGTGTTGATGCCAAAATGCAATTCTCATATCGAACTCTCTCTCAAACTTCATAAATATTTGCTATATAATGAACAAAGTGAGATTAACTTCCTTTTACATCTCCCACAACATGGCCATTTCCTAGCGATTCAAGGTTTATGATCTTTCTAATAGTTGGTGATATTCATCCCAAAAAACTTAATTATTACAGAATATAATGCTTCTTTTTTCCCTTTACGGAAAGGATTGTTTGTTTACCACAAAAAAAAAAAAACAAAAAAAAAACAAAACAAAAAAACAAATACAAGTAATTAAATAATTATTGCAACACCAATAACCCCTCCAAAACTCAAGATTCACAACAAATTCCCATCTACAGCCCCTAACACAAAGATCACAAGAACAAACTCTTTCCAAATCTTTATTTTACACCAAGAAACTCAAATACAATACCAACATATTCTCCATTAAAGCCTAATAATTTTATCCCATCTCAAAATGTGTATGTTTCCCCTCTCTTCTTCGGTTACCATTGACCAATTGTTCATCAAACTAGCTGCAAGAAAACACTACTAATGCCATGGCATTCACTTAAGCTACAAGCCTTGCATTTAGCCATTGGCACACCTCTTCCATTTCTTTAGGGACAGTGTAATGTCCAAGCCTACAAATCAAACCAAATCATGTCAATAAACTAGTAAGATGTTGTTTTATATTAATGGGCTTAGTTAGGACAAGATTTAATTCGGTAAGCTTATATATGAGTGGTTATGCTAAGAAAGAGTTAATAGAGAAAGTCATTCTTTTCAATGTTGTAAGGCAAATGGAGTTATTTTATTTAATACCCTTCATATGTTTTGAATGCAACATATCTGAATCCAGCTGAACTCAAGATCTGAGAAGACCTCTCTCCGAATTTGTATGGGACAACTTCATCACCTGTAAACAGTATGATCTAGTTAGTTAAAATGACATCTTTTTTATAGTTCTTTCTCATAAATTGATCATTAAATGATATATTATGTAATTATGCATAGAGTACAAATCTTGTTTATTAAACTTACCACGTCCATGACAAAGCAAAATGGGCAATGAGGCAGCACGTCTAGCACCATCCTGTGATCCTTCTATCATGCTTCTCAAACTCCTGTAAAACATCAATTATAATGTTAAGTGTCCAGATAAGGAATAACAAATATGTTTGACTATTAGTCAAACATTCAAGATAAACCTCAATCTTGACAAAAGGGAAAATCTTGTGGAACAATTCTATATCATCAGTATTTTGTAATGACACCTTACGGGGTAACTGATAATAATAAATTTGGAATTTTTATAAAACAGGAAATGTTTGAAGGATAATTTGGTAAAATCATACCTTCCACCAGGAAGCCAGCCACTCAATCCTACAATAGCCTTTAAGTTAACTGGATAAGGGCTGCCATTTCCGTATTTACCCTGGGCGAAACAAGTTGCAGAGTAAAGTGCACATGCAGCACCCATACTAAATCCCCCAATACCAAGTTTAACTGTTAAAAAGATGGTAAAATTATGTTTACAATAAAGTTAAGCTAGAAATTGACCTATCAAACAATATGCTACAAGGAGATACTAAGATCAACAACAGAAGGTAAAATTACATAAAAAGTAAAAAAGCATTGTTTTTTGGGCAACTTTGAGGTTTAACCACTTAAACTTAATGTTTTCCAATAAACCCGTAAAAGTTTCAGCCATTTTGACTTGGTCAAATGGTTAATCTGGAATAGTTTGATTGGAAAAGGAAAACATCATGGTGTTTTTGTAATTTGCCCATAATAGAACTATATTTGCATAAAGATTGAATAAAATACAACAAAAATGAAATGAAACGAAAAGGGTATTCACCATAAATGTAATCAATATCAGGGAAACAAAAAAGTTAGAAACTTTATACCATCAGTGGGCTCCGTTGATAACAAGTTTGCTATGTGTGATACTGAAGCATCTAAACCTTCAACATCATTTGGGCCATCTTCTGAGAGCTCTCCCTCATCAAACCCTGTTATGGAACAAAAATTTTCATTAAAATAAAATTTTTAAATTAGATTATTTATGGTTTAAATCTTGATATCTTACATGCAGTGCAAGGAAATCCACCAAGAACAGTCACAGGGCGAGTAGGAGCAGTTGGGCATATCCACTTAATCTGCAAATATTAATATTTTAAGTGATATTTAGAAGTTTTTAAAGGAAAGTGGTATTAATTGAGAGCATATGCTTACGTTTGGAAGAGGAAGGTTATCCAAGAGTTGAGACCAACTGCAATGAGAAACATGAAATTAGATGAGAAAGTATGCTTCTTAAGTGGGATTTTGTTCTTTTTGGCTTAATGGGCTTAATGCAAACATAAGTTAGGTGTTGTTTCTTTTTTGACTTAATATAAAGTATAAACATATGAGCTTAATGGGTTAAGTGGGAAGTGGGTGTCTTTATCCATTAAGACCTCATTTTTACGCTACTGCCCTTTAAGCAAACTCTTTTTTTTGTTCTAGTGTTATTATTTAACATCACTTCTAGACAAAAGGGTAAAATGGTCATTTTTTCATATTCGAACTTATTCCAGACAAACATCATTAATCTATTTTTACCCATACAACAGTTAATGAGGAGAAAAAGAAACAACCCCACATCTGATGAGGAGTAATATACGGGTGTTTCTTTGTTACTTAATGCAGAAAAAACGACTTAATAGATTTTCCCTCATTTATGTTATCCTTTCATTTCTCCAAGTATGCAATCATTTTCTTAAATACGTTTTAAACATCATTTATCCATACAAAACTTAATGAGGTTAAAAAAAGAAACAAGGCCTTAATCATAGTATGCTAACATTGGTCCTTTCAAATGTATCTAAACTTAACAAGTCTCATGCACTCTTAGGAAAGTTATTTGACATTGCTAAAATGTCTTAAAGATCAAACTTTTGAGTTAGTGGCCCTTGTCCCTATTTAAGCATATATCATAATTCATAAATCTTTATAATAATTCATAAACTACTTTTTGTTATTCTAATAAAATAAATTTCCCCTTTTACCTTTTTGTGAAATGGATTGAGTCAAGATAGCATTATCAAGTATCAACAACAAAAACAAAAGAGATTTACATTTAAATCATTTCACATCACAAAATAGTAATACTTTACGTCTCTCGGTTATAGAAGCTGATTTAAAGCATACACAAATAAACGGCGTTGCGGTTGTCCCCCATCATGTCAATCAGAATAAGAATCAATCGATGTTTTCATATCCTAATTCTCATTCTTGATATTTTTTATTGAAAAAAAAAAGTATATTCTTTTCAATCTATGGACAAGAGACTTCATATTGAAAGTGACATCAATAACCTGAAACTCGAAGGAAAACAACAAACAAGAACCCATGCATAGATGTTTAAGCATGAGTATTGAAATTTAGATTTTCCAAAGCTTATTAATATCTAGAAAAGACTTTTAAAGAGTTTTTACCATTGAAGTGAAAAAGTTTTCCAAAGCTTTTAGCATAATAAGTTAGTAATCTTCACATGGTATTAAAAAGATTAAATATGAATACAAAAAGGTTTTGAAAAAGGTTAATATATGAATAGCAAGAAATGATGATTATTATTTCTACCTTGAGCCATTATCACCAAGACCATGCAACCAAACAACCGTTGCTTGGTGCTTCCCTTTTGGCCTCACCACATAAGTCCTACCAAACTCAACGGTTCTCCTAGGTGTTCTACTACCTGAAAAAGTTGTACATTTTGGCACCAATTTACAAGATTAGAAACAACCATATATATATATATATATATATATATATATATATATATATTTTAAAGATTTAAAAGAGTTTGAACTAACCGGAACCAATGGAAGCATTTGTATAACTCATTTGTAAAGGAAATGCAAGAAGCAGTAGAAGGTGTTATGTGTTGAGGAGACACCCTTGGTGGTGTGGGCTTAATTTATAGGGAGCTTGGGTGGTTACAAAGAGAATAAAACATGTCAAGATTCAAATGTGCACCAGCTGCACATTGTGCCTAAAACCCAATAAGAAGCAAGAGCATCCATGACATGAAGAGAGAGAAAGAGAATCAAATGAAGAAATTAAAACACATAGATAGAGCACAAAATCAAGAAACCCCACTTCATATCGAAATTTAAGGGCTCTAATTACCACATTCTGATAGAGAGAATCTATGCTTGGTGGTGCAGTGGACATAAAAAATTATAAAGCAGACTCCATATAAACCCTTGAAAAAAGAATATTACTGAAAAATGACAAGCCACATCCTATTTGGCTATCTTTTCTCTTCTTCAATCATTTATTTATGCGATTCATGATGGTTTATGGGTACCCATTATCTTGAATGTGAATTCGAACTTTCTGACTTGTCATCATTGACATTTGTGACAATCTTTTAATAACGAGAACAATCAAAAACCAGCAAATTTTGGTACGAATGTTCGTCCCTTTTTGATTATTTATGGATATTAACTGTGAATTCTAACTAACTAACTACCATCATTGTCGTTTGTTACGATCTTTAAATAACATGAGCTATCAAGAACTTGCGAAAAGTGGGTGTTTATTTAAAGTTTTAACTAGAAATATCTGACGGTAATCTGAATGGAGCACCAACCTGAAATCGTGGGTGGAGAAGAGACATAATGATCACAGAAAGTATGTGGACTTTTGCGTGGCGAAATCTGAAATCTTTTTGCTGAATCTCTTTCTAAATCTGTAAATCGCTTTTGTTGCTTGCCACTATATCTATTATATAACGAAGGTAGCTCAGGTGTAGGTAAAGTCTTGAGGTTCATAATTGGGTTTTTGTTTGTTTTTGTTAAAAATTAGGATTCCCGACCCCGAGCAATGGAGCTCAATGGCACCTGCTGCCATTTGCATTCAAATTTCAAATTCCGATTGATTTGACGGGGCCACAATCTAAACCATGCCTGTTTTCGGGTACATCCCCGTGCTCATAATTGGAACCCAGTAGCTGTCACCACCGCAAACAGTTTTCATTTATTTTCTGTTTTTTTTTTTTTTTTTTTTTTTTTTCGTTTTCCGCTTTCAGTTTTCATTGGAAAATTTAGAAAACGCGTTTAGTTAAATCTTAGGGTGCGTTTGGTTGTGGAAAATTTTCCAGTTTTCTAGGGAAATTTTCCAAAAAAAACGGAAATTTTGAAAACGCGTTTGGTTCGTTCAATTTTCCAAAGTTTTCTAAGAAAATAAAAATTTTCAGTTTTCCAAATTGTATGTAAACTGTAAAAGTGATTTTTACAGTTTTCCAAAGTTTTCCAAATTTCTAGATGGAAAATGAAAATTCCACCGGTTCCAACCAAACGCATTTTCATTGAAACTAAAAATGAAAACTCAACTCTATTTTCTGAAAACATTTTTTTAGAAAATGAAAACAGTTTTCCACAACCAAACGCACCCTTAGGGTGCATTTAGTTGCGGAAAAATGGGCCGTTTTCCGGAAAAATTTTCCAAGAAAAATGAGAATTTTGAAAACGCGTTTGGTTCGTCTATTTTTCTAAATTTTTCACGGAAAATGAAAATTTTCCGTTTTCTAAAATTACAAAGAAGTTG